CAGTCTTTCCCCCCTTTTGGCTGCCTCTATCTGATAGAGGCAGCAAAGAGGGGGGAACCGACTAGTCGACCAGTCTTTAACATCCTTAGTTGTGACCCCCAGGAATGGACCTGGAGCTGGGACTAGAGCAGAGCTGACAACAAAACAGTGCTGGGTGGTGCTCTCTTCCTGCCCACCTTGAGGGCTGGCATGGGCTCTGCCACACCTCCAGGCACACCCCATAGTTTGGGACAACTGCCCTAGGACACCTGGGTCAGGAGCTGAATTGCATGACTTTGTCCTGGCTTCAGCATAAACTGCACCATCAGGGGGCTCTCTGCTGTCTCTTGTGATGGAGATGGTCATTGCTGCAAAGTGCATGAAAAATAAGGGGTACCTAAATGAGAGGAGCCTGTCTGATGGTCCCTGGGGTGGAGTCACAGGTTTGCTGTTTGCTTTCTGGTCACATCTGTGGGTAGAAGCCTGCCTGGACATTTCTCATGCTCCACCCTTGTGGGCATTTGTGCCACTTCTCCCTCCCCACACACTTTAACCAACCAAGCCCCCTTTTGTGATGCCAGGTGCTTGGTATTTTTACCCTTTTGGATTCCCGATGCTCTACCCTGCCCTGTTTTCTTGGGGAGCAGCAAAGCTTTCACCCCCTGTTGCTGGGAGAGAGGAGGTGCTTGGAGCTAGGGATTCATCTGCATTCTTTCAGGTGAGTGTCAGAGAGATCTGGGGGGTGGGGAGCCCCAGCATTTCTAGTCGCCCCTCCTGTTCCTTAAAATCTCCAGCAGATGTGGCTGAGGGACTTAGTCTGACAACAGCTCTCTCCTGATACCCTGAAAATGAAAGATGGGGGACAAGGGAGATGTCTTAGTGGTTGGGGCTGGCTCATTTCCAACCTGTGTGCATACAGCTCTCTTTGCTAGCCAATCAGATGGGTAGCCCCTGTAATCTGAGATTGATGTGTGTTCCTGCATCACACCGGTAGCCCCAGCTGGGGCATGACAGATGTTTTCCAATGCCTGAGTAGGGGGCTGTCTGTCATACCCCTCAGCAATCCAACCCTGTCAGAATGTGTGCACACACTACTGCCCCCTGGTGGAGAATGAAGGACATGCGTGACATGCAGAGCTGTCCTCTGCTGGTGGGTTGGCAGAGCTGCAAGGACAGGTGGGCAAAAGGTGCCAGTCCTACATTTAGCACAGTGCGTGTGTGTTTGTTCTTTTTGACGCCCTGGCGGTTAAAGGCAGAGCAGCAAATGCTGCCTCGGTTTCAAGCTCTGGAGAAACGCTTCCAGACCCTAGAGGCTGAGGCATCCCGTCTGGAGAAGCTGGCACTCCAGAGAGGGGCGGCAGCTGGGGGAGGCCTGACACATGAGGCCACCCTGACACTCCTGGAGGGGCTGGTGAGCCGTCGGGAGGCCGCGCTGAGGGAGGACTTGACCCTGCATGTCCAGGTAAGGAAAGTGGAGCCTTCTCCTGGGGAGACCTACTCCACCTACTTCCTTCCCATCCCCCGGCCCTGCTGCTGGGGTGTGGGGAGAGCATAAGGCTGACGTAGGGCTTGGGGTCAAGGTGGGTGAGTGGTGGGAAGGGCTGCTGGTGGTTCAGTGGTAGGGTTGGGATCAAAGTTAGGTGCTTGAGGGTGGCATAAATATGGGGGCAAGTTATGGGGGTGGGGTTGGGATGTGAGGGTGTTGGGTACAGGGAGTATGGTCTGGGGTGGGTTCTGTGCTGGAGCAGCTGAGGTATGGTTGGTGGATGTGTGAGCAGCAGGGGTGGGGGGAGAGGATAAATTGTGGGTGTGATGTTATATGTGGTGGGGTGTGTGCTGACCTGTCTCCCCACAGAGCGAGCTAGATACAATCCAAGGCCAGTTGCAGAAGGATTTAAACAGGCGCCTGGAGAAGATTACTCAGGCATCCCAGGTAAGCTGGCTTCTCTCTTTAAATTATGCAGATATCAAAAACTGGGAGTGATATAGCCCAGGGACTTTGCCCCTATCCAAGAAGAGGTGTACCGCTTAGGGAAGGAGGTACATTTCACTTTAGTGCCTACAGCTATGGGACTGCAAGCTCATTGATGTCCCATAAGCTAAATGCAGTTGGACTAGATCAGTTGTTGAATAAGGAGACCTCCAAGGAAAACCCAGGTGCTGCAGGAAGTGCTGCTAATGACGTAGCAGCAAGATTTGCTCTCCCCTTAAATTAGCAAGTGTTCTGTGCTGCTGCTGGGAACCTAAAACCCAGGCCCTGGCCTCATATCACTTTTCACAAGCAATGAAGCCTTGGTTCTGAAGAACTTGCATGTTCTTGCAACCACATCCTGCCTACAAGGTGGCAAATGCAAAACATTCAAAAATACTTTTTCATGCCATGTGTAACTAGACTGCGGAACACTCCCGCCACAAGAAGTTGTTGAAGCCAAGACCGTCACAAGATTCCCAGAGATTGGCCATTTATTTTCATAACAAGAACATCCAGAGTTACTTTAATAAGGAACAAAAAATGTAGGGATGCTAACCTCATGTATCAGCGTTTTGGCCAATCTGAGTATTAAAGACCAGGATGAGACCTAGCGAGAAGGGCAGATTATCCCACACATACCTACTCTGGGGTTCTTGAACCTTCCCCGGCAATGTCTGGAGCTGACCATTGCCACAGACAGGATACTAAGCTAGGTGGCCCTGAGGCAGGGCCAGATGAACCTTCTGTGGGCTCCAGTGCCTTGATTGTGTTGCTGCCCCAAGGACCTGCCCTTGCTTAGCCTCTTCTCCCCCACAAGGCCCTGCCACCACTAGGGTTGCCAGATGGTTTCAGCAAAACTACCGGACGCACTTGACATTACGTCACAATCTACATTCCATCTTATTTAGAAAATACTGGACATTTCTATTTTCTCATTTCTATTTTCTCAATTTGTTTCCCTAACAGAGAGCTAAAAACTGGACATGTGGCAACCCTAGCCACCACACATGTGGAGGGGAGGGCAAAAGGGGTGGAGAGCAGCAGGTGGGGGAGGCACAGAGAAATGAGCATGGCCAGGGCCTGAGGGTGAAGTACAACAAGAACAGGTGGGCAATGCTCCTTCTGAATGAGGGCACAGGGCAGTTGGCACCTTTGTAAACTAGGGATGTTAAAAAGCAGGTTTTCTTGTAAATGTGTAACCAGTTACATTTTTAGTGGTTATAAAGTTACATGGGGAGGTGTGGCTCCGTGGGAGGCAGTGCTCTAGCCAGCAGCGTGGGAGGGGAGCGGGGAACTCTCTGGGAGCCTGCTTAAAACCCAGCTCCCCGCAAGCACTGGCTCCTGCATGCTCTCCCCCTTCCCCCAGCTGCCTCTGATTCAGAGGCAGCAGGGTGGGGGGGGCTTACGTGTAACTGTGACTGTTAACAGAGCCCAGGCTCATTGGTTAACAGTTTAACCATGGATCCTAACACATCCCTATTGTAAACCTGGGGTCTGATCCACTCTGGCAATTCCTGTGTTGCTGCATGATGTCACCTCCCTTCCCCAACCCTGTGGCAGTTCTCATCCTGTCACGTCTGTTCCTTTGTGCTGCTGTTTTCACAGGAGGTGGAGGCCCGGATGCTCCAGCTGAATTCGGAATGGCAAAGGTAACCCAGCCCCTCTCCAGGGAACTCTTCCATGTAGCCGGGCGGTTAAACATGTTCTCAACCTGCTTGGGCTGAGAACAGGCAGCGGGGGTGTCTGTTGGGATCCTACAGGGATCCCCGTTAAGCCTGCTCTGGGACCTGGGGCTCATGGCAGGTCTAAGAGACCAAACTGGGAGGGGTTTCAGATTCTGATGCAGCCTGGAAAATAACAACAAAAGCCGGCAGGAGCCAAAATGAGATGGGACTTAGTGACAAGCTAGATCATATGGGGAGGGGAAAGGATCCAGCACATGGCTAGTCGGTGGGAGAGAGCAAAACTGACTGCAATGATACTGTGAAAGGGAGGTGGCAGGAGGACTCTGCTCTTGTAGGTTTGAGATGGAGGCTGAGAGAGCCAGTGTGATCTTTGGCTGTGTATGCAAAGGTGGTGCCTCCTGGAGCAGGTAGCCTGGGACTCTGCCCAGATGGTACCTAGTATGCTGTGCTCTGGCCTGGCACCGCAACCCCAGGAAGATATCAATACATTGGAGTTGAGAGAAGAGCAGCAAAAATAACCCGGGGGCTGGATTGACTGAGGGCAGATGAGAATAGAGAAGGACATATCCTCAGACTAAGGGTACGTCTAGACTACATGCCTCTGTCGCCAGAGGCATGTAGATTAGGCTACCAGACATAGGAAAATGAAGCAGCGATTTAAATAATCGCCGCTTCATTTAAATTTACATGGCTGCCGCGCTGAGCCCACAAACAGCTGATCAGCTGTTTGTCGGCTCAGCGCGATAGTCTGGACGTGCAGGTGTCGACATCAAAGGTATTTGTCGACCACCCAGGTAAACCTCATCCCAGGCAGCCATGTAAATTCCTATGTCTGGTAGCCTAATCTACATGCCTTTGGTGACAGAGGCATGTAGTCTAGACGTACCCTCAGGACAACATGATAACCCACAAGGATGGGAAGGGTGCTCACACTGGGGAGGAAATTTTGGATGTTCCTGGGGATATATGCCTAAAAGCAAGGGAGTGGAACTGAGCAAGGAGACCTGTGACTGGAGATTGAAACCATCTCCTGGGAGTGAGGGCTATTAGGCCTTGGTGTAACCCCCCAAGGAGAGAAACTTAACGAATAGTCCTGCAGCACTTTAGAGACTAACAAAACATGTAGATGGTATCATGAGCTTTCATGGGCACAGCCCACTTCTTCAGATTAATGGAGTTGAAGGGGTCCAGAGGTACAACCAAATAGCAAAAAGAGGAGAGATGGGGGGGGAGGGAACCTGTCAATTAATGTGTCCGTGCTAAATGAGGCTAATAAAGTGGGCTGTAAGTGCCTGGTACTTAGCTTTTGATGTCATTTGCCCATCCAGTTCATGTCTTTGTTCAGTCCTTGGTTAAATGTGTCAAATTTGCATATGAAGGCAAGTTCCGCAGTTTCTCTCTCTGGCTGGTTTTTTTAACTGCTTTGTAAGAGGATATTTACTTTTCGACCCATTAGTGAGTGCCCGGGCAAGTTAAAATGTTCCCCAACAGGTTTCTGTGTGTTATTTCAAATTTCTGAGTTGTGTCCATTAATCTTTTGTCATAGATGCTGTCCAATTTGGCCAGTATACGTGGCAGAGGGGGGTATTGCTGGCACTTGATGGCATAAATCACATTAGTGGATGTGTAATTGTATGAACCTCTGATAAGGTTAGGTCCCGTGATGAAGTTGCTTGTGTAGATGTGTGGACAGAGTTGGCACTGGAGTTTATTGCAGGGGTGGGCTCCTGGATGAGTATGATTGAGGTGTGATGCACAGTTGCTAGAAAGAATTTTTCAGGTTAGGGGGTTGTCTGTAGGTGAGGATTGACCTGTCCCCCAAACTACCAGGCACTTACAGCCTGTTTAGCACCGACACTTGAATTGACAAGTTGTTTTTCCCCTTTTCCTCTGCATTTCTCCTCTTTCTCTGCTATATATTTATGCCTCTGGATAGGGATGTGATTAGGTGATTCTCTGATAAGCATAAGCTTATCAGATAGTTGACTAGTGATGCAACTAGTCGCTTTCCTCCCCCTGCTGCTTCTATCAGAGAGAGGCATCAAGGGGGGAGCAGGACCTGGTGCTGGGGGAGCCAGCTTTAAAACTGGTTCCCCCCAGCACCGTCTCTGTGGGGGGCAGGGGAAGTAGAGGCACAGCGGGAAATGGTGCAAACGGGGACTGAAGCCGTCTTTGCTTGTGCCGCTTCTGCTGCGATTCTGCTTTTGAAATGTACAAGAGCCCTGCCGGGGGACTGTGCCGCAGAGAGTGTGGGGTCAGTGGGCGAGTCCCAGCTAGCCCCACGCTCCCTGTGGGGCTTCCTCTTTTGAAATGTACAGGAGCCCCACTGGGGCTTTTGTACATTTCAAAGGCTCAGGCACCATGCGGGGCCCCGCACTCCCTGCAGGGCTTCCACTTTTGAACTGTAGCAAGAGACTGGCAGGGAGTTCAAAGGCAGAGGCAGCCTTATTGACTAATCGGATAGTCAATGGAAATCCCATCAACTTTTCAATTAGGGATGTTACATTTAGATTAACTACCTCTGGACCCCTTGCTCCAGTCATCTGAAGAAGTGGGCTGAGCCCACAAAAGCTCGTGATACCATCTACATTTTTTGTTTAGTCTCCAAGGCGCTCCAGGACCATTCGTCGTTTAACTTTTTTTAACTACAGACTAACATGGCTACCCCGCTGAGACTCCCAAGGGAAGCAGCAGATGTTCTCATTGCTGGGGATGTTAAATTCAGTTGCTCAGAGCCCTGGAGAATGTTCTCCCCGCAGTGGCAATCTTCCATTGGTTTGTGGGAGGGGTGACAACAGGAGAGGGGATGTTGGCTAAGAGATGATGTGACCAACCTCGTCTCTTGCTGGCAGGTTACTCTGTGCCCTGGGGTGGGATGGGGTGTACGTCTGACAGGAAAATACACGTTGGTATTTACTGCTGCAGCGTTCTGTCTGGCTTCATCAGTGCACTCCACATCTCAAGCTAATCCTCCAGGACCATGACTGGGAGGCGCCATTGGGTAGCTCGCTGCCTCCATGACACCTACGTACAGATCTGTTTATTCGCCTCCCTCCCTCCCTCCTTCTGTAGCTCGACCCAAGAGGGTCTGCAGGGGAGTTTCCAGCAGGAGATGGGCAGACTGGAGACACAGCTAGCTGGCCTGAAGAAGGAGCTCACGCTCCTGGCGTCTGACCAGCAGGCGTTGGTGAAGCACATAGAGTCACTGCCAGGACAAATCAAGGGAGTGCGACAGGACGTGAGTCTCAGACCCTGACCCTGTCCCCTTAACAGAAGTCTCATTTGACCCATTCCCTGCCAATGTTTCCTCTAAGCTTTTCCATCTATGTGCAGAATAAAATTTTCTTTGTGCACCGAGGCATGTGTGAATATGCACCACCAGTGGGTGCTCTGCTAATCAGCTGGGTGACATTTGAATCTCCTGAGTAGCTGTACAAGCACCCAGCTTACAGAGCAGAGAACAGTCTTCCAAACGGTGATGTGGCAAAGTCTGGGTGATGCAGACTGTGTGGTCCCACCATGTGCTAGGCACCTCTGGGTACATGATGCCCCATCTCCCTTCACAAGCTGGACTCTTCCAGGAGAGTGACCTTTCTTCTGCCACAACCTGGGCACCCTCAGGGGTGGTTTGTGTGCATTAGGTATCCTCTAAGGATGGAGGTTTCCCCACACGTAGGGGACTGAAGGCCAGACTGCCAGGGCCCTTGTGCTGCCTTGCTCTGCCCACATGCTCTCCATTTGCCATGCTCTGCTGTGCAGACTCCCTCTCCTGGCCTGAGCGCTTTCCCTTGGCTGTTTCAGGTGGAGGCGCAGTTTCCCCGGTGGATCAGTCGGTTCCTGCTGCAGCCCAGGGAGGATGGAGCGGGCAGTCTGGTTCTCCCCCGTGAGGAGCTACAGGACAAGCTCCGGGAGCTGGAGCACAGAATCCTGGCCAGTGTCTCGGAAGGCCAGAGGCTGTCTGCACGGGATGCCAAGGCCAGCATTGGGGTAGCGCTGCAGCAGGAGGGAGTCACAGGTGTGACTGAAGAGGTGAGGCCATGCCTGCTCAGCCACATCCACTGAGTAACTTACTTGGCTTGGGGGTTGTGGCATGGCACACTCAAGTGTCAGAGCCACATTCGCCTGTGTGACAGGGCCAGCCCTGAAGCCCTTACATGTGTGCCTACATGGAGTGTGGCAGGGAGTGTATGTGGCAGGCCCCGGCTCCATGTGTGTGCTCGCTGTTGCGTGTGATACTGTGGTTGTGCTGAAGCACTGACAGCTGGGAGCATCAGGGATTTAGGATTTCTTCCATTTTCTGTTACCCTGTTTGTTTTTTCTTTCTCCCAGAACCCTGACAGTAAATTGGGCTGGGGTTGCCAGGGACTTGGTTTGGTTGTGTGCAAATCATAACCAGCCCTTTTAAACATGTGATTAAATCCTCATGAAGAAAAGGAGGAGGCAGAGTGAGGAGTCAAGTCACTTACAGCCTGGGTCCTTCTGAATTGCTGAGCTACAGGAGCCATTCAGACTCACAACACTAATATCATTATATAGAGGGAAGGATGAGCTTGTGGCTCGGCAGTGGATTGGGACTCACGAGATCTGGACTCGGTCTGCTCCCAGATCCCCTTGTAACCTTGGACAAATCTCTTTGTTTCTCTGCATCCGTTCCCCCTTGCTGATGCCCAGATGATGCTCCCTTTCTCTGTCTTATCTATATATGCTGTAAAAAAAGTTTTGGGGGCTGGCACTGCCTTGTTATTTGGATAGCACCTAGCATAACGAAGGGAAGGGTCCAGGCTCATTTGGGATCAAGAAGTATTAGTGCAATACGAAGAATTACTAACAAATAAGGTATAAGAGTTTAAAGTGTTTAAAGGGAAAAGCCCTGGTTTGAAATGTCTTTTTAAAATAGTTTCATATGGCTCTTTTGGGAGAAAAAGTGATTCAGTTTTAGGTGGTAGCTCTCAGGTTGTGTTGTTTTAAAGTTCTAGGCTGTTTCCTAGGACAGGTGCACATAAAAGGAGCGGATAGGAGAATGAAGCCACTGTTACCTCTTGTGCTTTCAGACCAGTTGGTGAAAGAGAACTTGCGCAGCACAGGACTCATTTAGCCATCCCTAGCTCTGCCACATTTTTGGCTAGGTAGCTTTTAGTTCCCTCTTGTCTGTCTGTCTGGAGGCAGCTAATCTCTTGGCAGAGATCGGGTAGTCTAGGAATTTTTTCCAGCTAGTCAACTTGCAAAGAATTGCAAGGTCAGATGTGTGCTGGCTGGCTCATTTAGACAGCTTCAGAAAGAGGTGGAAGGAATATGGTAGGGATGGAAACCAAAATGCTGAGGAGGCTTGTGGGAACTCTTGGGTCAAATCTTTGGAGGTGCCCACGACCCAGCTATGGTTGATGGGAGGGGTCTCACTTAGAATCTTTTTGGGGGAGGGGGTTGGGGGGAGGGATCTGGTCTGCACATCTTTCAGGATCAGGTGAAAGGAAGCGCAGCAGTGTGACGGTGACTACCCAGTTCCCAGCTTATGGTGGTGATCACCACAATGGCTATGCTGGTAATGTGCTGGTTACTGGGTACCCTGCCACTCTGGATGACCTGTCAAGGTCTCCCCAAAAGACATCTGTCTGAAAGGGATGAGCTTGCTACACTGTCACAATTCTCCAGTCGTAACAAGGCAAGGCTGGCTCCAGATTGGATGCTGCCTCTCATTTTAGGGATGTAAAATCCTATTTAATTGATTAGATTAAATTGATTACATTACCAGTTAAACATAATGTTTGACCAGTTAACCAATTAAAAGAGTGGTCCAGGTGGGGGGAGGGGCTCTTTCAGCCCAGCTGGGCTGGAGTGGCCCTACCACAGACAGGCTGCATTGGCCCTGACAACAACAACGGGCTGCTCAGGCTGGGCTAGAGTGCCCCCTGCCCACAGCGGGCCCCACTGGGCTGGAGTAGCCCCCTGCCCATGGTGAGTGGGGAGCTGCTCTGTTACAGGTGAGGCTTGCCAGTTATCTGTTCACATCCCTAATTTTTGATCTGTGGCTGTAACAATTCAGAAGCCTGTGATTGCATGTGTGGTGTGGCTGTATAAAATGCATGTGCAGACGCGTGTGCTAAATGTACGTGGCAGAGGTTTGCGTGTGATAGGCTGCATGTACAGACGTGCACATGGAGGTGTGTCAGGATTGTGTGTGATGTGTGTGTCTCCAGCCTTTGCATTCAGTTCTGGTGTGTCCTTTTCCCTCTTGTTGCAGCAAGTGCACGTCATTGTGAACCGAGCCCTGCAGCGCTACAGCGAGGATCGCATTGGAATGGTGGATTATGCCCTTGAATCAGGGGGTAGGTGAATCGTGGCCCCCAAGGACAGAAAGGGAGTGTCAGACTGAAGACTCACTCACTGTGTTAATCGGAGACAGGACTTGCTAGGAGACTTCCAACAGCTTAGCATGTAGCCTGGGCATGTGAAGAGGGAGGATATTGGGCTGTCTCATGCATGCAGAGCATTACAGTGAGGCTCAGTTGGCTAGCCCAGCCTCACTAGAAGAGATTTCACGTATGGCATAGCATGTGGTTTTAGAGGGGGAGCTGAGCTGGAATAGCTCCTCCCTGCCCTGTAGATTAGCTTTGTTTGATACCTCTGCCTGCCCAATGTGAGACCATAGTTAGGCCTTGTCTATACTTACATGAAAGGGTGAATTAAGATACACAATTCCAGCTACGTTAATTGCATGGCTGGGGTCAATGTACCTTCATTCGATCTTCTGCGTTGTCTCCATGAATCGAGAAGTACCGGCACCAACAGGGGTGTCCTCAATGTTCGGTTAATTGAACTCCGGAAGATTGATGGCTGCAGCATCCATCTTCGGGAAGTGAAGACGTGGCCTTAGATACACAGAGAGAGCATAACTTGAGCTGCTCAGGCTGGGCTAGAGTGCCCCCTGCCCACAGCGGGCCCCACTGGGCTGGAGTAGCCCCCTGCCCATGGTGAGTGGGGAGCTGCTCTGTTACAGGTGAGGCTTGCCAGTTATCTGTTCACATCCCTAATTTTTGATCTGTGGCTGTAACAATTCAGAAGCCTGTGATTGCATGTGTGGTGTGGCTGTATAAAATGCATGTGCAGACGCGTGTGCTAAATGTACGTGGCAGAGGTTTGCGTGTGATAGGCTGCATGTACAGACGTGCACATGGAGGTGTGTCAGGATTGTGTGTGATGTGTGTGTCTCCAGCCTTTGCATTCAGTTCTGGTGTGTCCTTTTCCCTCTTGTTGCAGCAAGTGCACGTCATTGTGAACCGAGCCCTGCAGCGCTACAGCGAGGATCGCATTGGAATGGTGGATTATGCCCTTGAATCAGGGGGTAGGTGAATCGTGGCCCCCAAGGACAGAAAGGGAGTGTCAGACTGAAGACTCACTCACTGTGTTAATCGGAGACAGGACTTGCTAGGAGACTTCCAACAGCTTAGCATGTAGCCTGGGCATGTGAAGAGGGAGGATATTGGGCTGTCTCATGCATGCAGAGCATTACAGTGAGGCTCAGTTGGCTAGCCCAGCCTCACTAGAAGAGATTTCACGTATGGCATAGCATGTGGTTTTAGAGGGGGAGCTGAGCTGGAATAGCTCCTCCCTGCCCTGTAGATTAGCTTTGTTTGATACCTCTGCCTGCCCAATGTGAGACCATAGTTAGGCCTTGTCTATACTTACATGAAAGGGTGAATTAAGATACACAATTCCAGCTACGTTAATTGCATGGCTGGGGTCAATGTACCTTCATTCGATCTTCTGCGCTGTCTCCATGAATCGAGAAGTACCGGCACCAACAGGGGTGTCCTCAATGTTCGGTTAATTGAACTCCGGAAGATTGATGGCTGCAGCATCCATCTTCGGGAAGTGAAGACGTGGCCTTAGATACACAGAGAGAGCATAACTTCTGTCACCTGGGGAGGGTGCTATGGTCTCACCGTCTTTTGTTTTCCTTTCAATCCCAGGGGCCAGTGTTATTAGCACCCGGTGCTCGGAAACCTACGAGACCAAGACAGCACTGCTTAGTCTGTTTGGGATCCCCCTGTGGTACCATTCTCAGTCTCCACGGGTTATCCTGCAGGTAGGGACCCAACTGTGTAGAGAGGGGGGGTCCCATTATACCACTGCGAGCTGAGCTAGAACTTTCTGCCACTGTCCATGGACTGTTCCTTGCCTATTGCCCCAACGTGGGCCCAGCTGGATAGTTCTCCTAACGCCTCCCATGACCTCCCGGTTTAGTTAATTCCTCCTTGGTGCTCAGACTGCCATCGTGTCACCCTTAAGTCGTATCTTCCCCTGTTGGTAGTCAGGCCTTCCATCCTGGGAAGTCACATTTCCTCCATTTCGTTCCCTTTCTCTGGGTTCTCTCCCATAAAGATCAGATCTGAATGTGGGGACGGGGATGCTTCCCTGATGCCTTGTGCTACACAAAATGCCTGTCCTGGGGTGGAGAGGAGTTAGATGTGCTGTTTGTCACCTTGGCTGTGTTAACAGCTGGGTCCTCAAACTCTAGTCGTTGGCGTATGCAACCTCATTTGTGGTTTTGGTTCAGAACTCAAGCTGCAAATGTTTCAGAAATTCCCACTCTCTTTCCAGCTCCATGTCCTGGGCCTGACAGCGTCCAATGCGAGATCTTCCAGAGATCAAGCCAGTTCTGTTACCAGTCACAAGTGTCGTCAGCCCCAGAGAAAGGGGTTAAAAGCCCCATGTCTGTATGCAGTGTTCTAGCCAGGGGAGACCTTTCTTCCTCCTCCCAACTAGGGAGCTCTTGGTCACAAAGCCTGAGGGCTGACGACACTTGTGACTGGTAACAGAACTGGGTTGTGGTACCACAGGGGTTCTGAGCCTCATTCTCTGTGGCAGTCAGGTTCCGGGTCAGCTCCTTTCAGTCATTCTGCCAGCTGAGGTTAAGCCAAATCTCCTCCTGCCCCGATCCAGAACCAGCCCAAGAACCAGGGGCACATCTGTGTCTCTTCCTCTCCACGGTCCATAATAATCAGAGATGTAAAATCCCGGTTAATCAGTTAACCAGTTAAACCTTAGGTTTAACCCGATTAACTAGGATCTGCTCTCTTCTCCCGCTCCCACCCCCACCTGGGGCTGCCCCTGCCACCACCACTCT